GAACCGCTCTGATAAATGTCTCCTAACATTGCTCCTCTCTCCCAGTTTGGGAGTCACTGCAGGTGGTGGCGATTCACCTAGGGAGCCAAGCAGACTGTGTTGTTTAAGGAGGACACCTCACTGTTAGCTCCTGAGAGCCCCAGGCAGCAGGCACAGAGGGGACTTCACCGACGGCCCTCTTGAAGGGATTTTTACCCTGATATTGGGGGGGGAGGGCCCTTGGTTTTTGCTTCATGTGCAGCTAATAAGTAATTTCCACTGGGGATTGGGTTTTATAGTCTGGCCATTTGGTAATCAGAGAATCTAATTTATGAGTCTTTCTGTTTGCTTGCCTGCTAGTCTGTTTGTGAGCTCAAATCAATTAAGAACATATTTTATGTTCCTCGGACAGGAAACCGGCTCTTTGAGATCTTGACTGGTAAATGTCTGCATTTCTGTGTTGAGTTTTGACCTGTGGCTGAAACTACAGAACTGAAGCGAGAAGATTTCTATGTGTGTCTGTGGACCAGTCATTCAGAAAAGCTGTTACGTGGTTGGTGAGTATCGTGTACTTTCGTGCTCCTGAATGGATGACAATCTTTAAGCTAGAAGGGTAGTCATTTAGTTTGAATTGATTTATGGAGATGGACAAGAGCATATGTTGTCATTGCTGTTGTTAGGTGCCATCGAGTTGGGCCTGGGTCTTCCATCCTCACAACCATTGCCACACTTGAGCCACTGGAGCAGCCACTGTGTCAATCCATCTTGCTGGGGGTCTCCCTCTGTTTTATCTAGTCTCTACTTTACCAAGCATGATGTCCTTCTCCGGAGATCGGTCCCTCCTGATAACATGTCCAACGTTAGTGAGATGAAAGTCTCATCATCCTGGCTTCTAAGGAGTTTTCAGGTTATACTTTTTCCAAGACAGATTTGTTTGTTCTTCTGGCAGTCCAAGGCATATTCCCTATTCTTCACCAACACATAATTCAAAGGTATCAATTCTTCTCCAGTCTTCTCTGTTCATTGTCCAGCTTTCACAGGCATAGGAAGTAAAGGAAGACACCATGGATTGGGCCACTTGAGTCCTCAGAGTGAAATCTTTGCTGTTTTGACACTTTAACGAGGTGTCTTGCAGCAGATTTGCCTGCTTGCAAGGCCACTGACTGTGGATCCAAGAGAAAGGAAATCCTTGGCAACTTCAATTCTTTCTGTGTTTACCACCATGTTGCTTATCGGTCCAGCTGTGAGTTTTTACTTTCTTTATGTTGCAGTGGAATCTGGGTACTTATATAAATCTAACATTACCCAAATTCCCCGAAAATAAAGAAGTTGAACTTCTAATAGTTTAACAGTGATAGGATTAAAATATATTTCTTAAGAAATTGCTAGTTCAGAATTATTTTTAGAAAAAAATCCATATTCACAAAATTAAGATGAATCTTGGACAAATTAGACAAATTCAATAAGTTTGCTCTAAAACAGGATGACAGTAATGTATGTCCTTTCCTTTAGGTGTAATTTCAGACCAGACTATATATTTTATAGATAGACAGGGGTTTGGACTTCGGAAGAACTAGTTAAATTCAACTTCCTTAACGTCTTATGCTGGGTTAGCATAAATAACGTACAATTTGCGTTCGCCTTATCTGAGTATTATCTGACAAACATATTTGTATGTTGTAGTTGAGTGCCGTCAAGTGGGTACTGACTCATAGTGACCTTATGTCCAACAGAATGACACACTGTCCAATCCTCTATCAACAATTATCGCTATGCGTGAGTCTACTGCTGCCACTGTGCCAACCCATCTCATTGGGGCTCTTCTGTTTCTCTGAACCTTCATGTTACTAAGCATGATGTCCTTCTCCAGGCACTGTTCCCTCCTATAACATGTCATAAGTATGAGAGACAAAGTCTGGCCATCCTGACTTCTAAGGAGCATGCTAGCTGTACTTCTTCCAACACAGATTTGTTTGTTCTTTTGGTGGTACATGATACTTTTACTATTCTCCTCCAACACCAGAACTCAAAGGCGTCAATTCTTCCATGTGCATCTTTAGTCACTGACCAAGTTTCCCATGCATATAACGTCATTGAAAGTACCATGGCTTGGGTCAGGCACATCTTAGCCCTCAAACTGAAATCTTTGTTCTTGAACACTTTAAAGAGGTCTTGTGTAGCATATTTGCCTAATACAATACGTTATTTGATTTCTTGACTGCTGCTTCCATGAGTGTTGATGGTCGATACGAGAAAAACAAAGTCTTTGACAACTTCAATCTCTTCTCCATTTATCCTGATGTTATTTATTGGTCCAGTGGTGAGGATTTTCGTTTTCTTTACATTGAGATGCAGCCCATACCAAAGCAGTACTTTTAAGTCCTCTTCACTTTCAGCAAGGTTGTATCATCTGCATATTGTATGTTGTTAATGAGTCTTTATCTAACCCTGATGCCACGTTTATCTCCCTATAGTCCATCTTCTTGAAATTTTTGCTCTGCATACAGATGGAGTAAGTATGGTGAAAGAACACAACCGTGGCACACATCTTTCTTAATTTTAAATCATTCAATGTTACCTTGTTCTGTTTAAACAACTGCCTATTGGTCTATGTTCAGGTTCCTCGTGAGCACAATTAAGTGTTGTGGAATACTCATTCTCCACAATGTTGTTCATAACTTGTCATGATCCACACAATCAAAAGCATTTGCATAGTCATTAAGGCACAGGTAAACCTCTTTCTGATATTCTCTGCCTTCAGCCAACATCCATTTGATGCCACCAATGATATCCCTCATTCCATGTCCTCATCTGAATCTGACTTAAACCTCTGACAGTTCCCTGCCAAAAGCATTATTGCAGCCATTGTTTAATTACCTTTAGCAAAATTTTACTTGCATGAGATAATAATGATATTGTCTGATGATTTCTGCACTTCATTGGGTCACTTCTCTTTGGAATGGGCAGAAATATGGATCTCTTTCAATCAGTTGGCCAGGTAGTTGTCTTCCAAAATTCCTGACATTGATAAGTGAGTGACTCCAGTGCTGCATCAGTTTGTTGAAAGATTTTCACATTTCATGTCCCCAAGTTTTGTTCTTTGCCTCCAGTGCACATTTGGACCTCATGGTTCAGTGTCCTTGGCTCTTAATCATATGCTACCTCCTGAAATGGTTGACAATTGACCACTTCTTTTTGGTACGGTGACTCTGTATATTCTGTCCATCTTCTTCTGATGCTTTCTACATCATTCAGTATTTTGCCTGTAGAATCGTTCAATTGTTCAATTGCAAGTCGAGATTTGCATTCCTTCTTCACTTCCTTCAGCTTGAGAAATACACAGCTTGTTCTTCCCTTTTGGTTTTCAAACTCCAGCTCTTTTACCTCTTCATTTCTTCCATTTGCTTTAGTATCTCTGTGCTGGAGAGCACATTTCAGAGTCTCTTCTGACATTCATTTTGGACTTTTTCTTCTTTCTTGTCTTCTTGTATGATCTTCTTGATGTCATCCCATGACTCTTCTGGTCTTCGGTCTTTAGTGTCGAATGCATCAAATCTGTTCTTGAGATGGTCTCTAAATTCAGGTGGGATATGTTCATGGTCATGTTTTGGTTGTCATGGACTTAATGTTTTAATTTTCTTCAGCTTCCGTCTGAACTTGCATTAAGAGCAAATGCTGGTCTGGTCCACTGTCTGTCCCTGGCCTTGTTGTAGCTGATGCCATGGAGCTTTCCCACGGTCTCTTTCCATGGATGTAGTCCATTTGGTCTCTGTGTATTCCATCTGGTGAGGTCCATGTGTATGGTTATCTTTTATAGCAACTTGAAGAGCAGTAATTACTTGCAGTGTATCACCTTTTAGTGCTATACAAAGGTCTTATGTTCCTAAAAGTGTTTAAGTTATTAATGCTTAAAGGCATTTAAAAATGTCTTAAGTGTGTTAAGTTACCAGTTACTTAAAACATACTCAAACTACAACTGTTTAATGAGTTCAACTTCTCCCCACAATGGAGTGAATTTCTGAAGACCTCATCCAAATGAATGCTGCCATGTAAACAAAGGGGAAATGTCTTTGTAAATAGGATTTGCCTTTTCATGGATAAGGAGCCCTGGGGGGAAGGGGCCAATGGGATAAGCCTTGGGGTGCTTATTGCAAGGTTGGTGGTTCAAATCCACCAGTTCGCTGCTCCGCCTGAGACAGGTGAAGCTGTCTGCTGCTGTAGAAGTGTGTAATCTCGGAAGCTCAGTGGAGCAGTTGTGCTCTGTCCTCTGGGGTCACTCTGGGTCAGAAGTGACTGGATAGCAGGGGAGCCCTATTGAACACTCCTGCTCTGTCTACTCACAGGCACCTCAGGAGAAAGGTGCAGTGATCAACTTCAGAAAAGTCTCCCACTGATAACCCTGAGGAGCACACTTGCGTTTGGACACACCGGGGGCACCAGGAGTAGAATCAACTCGATGGCAGCCGGTTTCACTTTTGGTTCAAAGGCTCATAACACTCTTCTTCCGAAGCCGACGGTGTCAATGAGACTAGTTACTGGGAGGAAGAAAGGCATATAGATTTTTTTTAGAGTGTGGCCATCTCTATTTCCGTTTTCCTGGTTCTGGAGTCCTTGTGTGATACTGCAGGAGAAAAAACTGGACTACAAGATCGGTAGTTCAAACTTGGATACCCTTTCAGAGTTGCTATGAGTCGGAACTGACTAGATGGCACTTAACTACAACCACCTTTGGGTAGCATGATGGCTTCATAGGGTTATCACTGGATTGTGAACCACAAGGTTGGCGGTTCAAGTCCACCAGCTGCTCTATGGGAGAACGATGAGGCTTTCTGCTGCCACAAAACAATCTACAGCCTCGGAAACTGTACACAAGGTCTCTGTGAATCAAAACTGACTCCATGGCACTTACCAACAACAGCAATCTTTGTTCAAAACAAAGAACAGTTGAATTGAATTTCTACTGAATTTAGTTAAAGACTTTCGGCCCTAAAAGCAGCCTGAACCTTAATGGAGATACTCACAATTCGAAGGAGCCAGGATAAGGTTGATGTTGCTGTGGAGTAATGTGTGTTGTAGTGATACGGCGGGCTGTGCTCGTCTTCCCACGTCTCATACCGCTCCGCGTAGAACACGGCTCTCTTAGGGTTCAGAGCACCGATCGGCTGCACACAGAGAAAGAGGTACAGTTTGGTTAATGTGATTGAAGTAGACATTCTTGATTACACGCTTTTACGTGGAAATGATCTTACTGGGTTTCAGAGTGCTTCACTAACCTAGTTAATTTGAAATTAAACATAGTCTTGGTCTGACACTGTAGGATAAGCATTGGACTGCTAACCAGAGGTAAGTGGTTCAAACCCACCAGTCACTCTTCAGAAACCCTGTACAGAGTCACCATGAGTTGGAACCAACTTGACGGCACTTAACAATAGCAATAACAACATATACAGAGGGGGTTTCAAAAGGTTGATGGAAAACGCAATTCCAAGATAGTGGCATTTTCCCACACATTTTTTGAAGCCCCTCACTTAAATTATATACTATAAAAGTGTAAATTATATCCTATATATTTACATCATAAAATTATAAATGATATCCTATAACCTATCATTTTATATGTTTGCGAATCTGGATTTTGATGGTAATTCTCTGGTAGTGTAGTAGTTACGAAACGGGCTGCTAATCTCACGGTCAGCAGTTGGAAACTAACAGCTGTTCCAGGGGAGAAAGTTGAGGCTTTCTGTTCCCATAAAGATTTACAGCCTCGGGTTAAGGTCGTTATGACTCAGAACCGACTCTATGGCACATAACAACAACAACATGTCATTACAAAGGAGCTCTAGTAACACAGTGGTTACGAGTCAGGCTGTTGACAGCTCTGGTAGTGTAGTGGTTACAAATCGGGCTGCGAACCACAAGTTCAGCTGTTTGAAACTAACAGCAGTTCTGCAGGAGAAACATGAGGCGTTCTGCTCCTGTAAAGATTTACAGCCTCGGAAACCCTGTACAGGGTCGCTATGAGTCGGAACCGACTCCACGGCACACAGCCACCAGCCACAATTCAAAACTACCAGTGGCTCCACAGGAGAAAGATGAGGCTTTCTGCTCCAGTAAAAATTAACAGACTCAGAAACCGTATACAGGGTCACTATGAGTTAGAACTAACTCCAAGGTACATCACCACCATCACCACCAACGTGTCATTATACTGGCAAAAAATCACCCAGCAAAATGGGTCACATGTGCAAGGTTTCTAGATGCTGCTGAGTGTCTTAGGAAACTGGGTTACCATGAAGTAAGCCAAGCGAACATATTTATGTACTTTATTACTGTCCAGGTTAAAAGACAGACAAGGAGCACGTAGTGAGGAAGGTGTGGGGCAGCTAAGTCAGAGAGGCCAAACCGTACCCACACACCC